TCCTCAGTAGAATCGTATTCGCCATCATTGACTGATAGGTGTACTGCTGCTTCTCGTACTGTGTGCCGTTTGTTGGGTATGGCAGGGATCCGTCGAAGAAGCCAAGAATCTGCGCGCCTTCCATCATTAACTCGAACTCGAACGACCAGGTGAAGAAGTCCTTTCCGTCGAAAGGCCTTGACGTCTGAAGTTTTAAAACGTGCGCGAACTGCGACTGAACTTGAAGTGCGTCCTGTGGTTTCTCCTGTCCAGGTGCAGGCTGCGGTTGTGGCATAAAGCTGACGGAGCCGCGATGGGGCTCGTACGGAGCAAAGGTAGGTTGCTGCTGTTGATTTCCACGTGCGTAGGATGAGCCGTCAAGGCTCATTGGAGTCACGTTGTTGTTGTTGCTGCTGTTGTGTGACTGCGCAGGTACCGATTGCTGGTGTTGCTCGTAGAAGGACATGAAGGAGAAAAACTTCTCCATCATGCTCTGGTCGAAGCCTGCAGGTTGATTCGCAGGAGTCTAGGTGGATGTTGCCTTGGGTCTTGTTGCCGTACCCTCCTCTGTCTGTAGGCCAGAGGCAGGAGGTGGAGTAGGAGTAGTGCCGGGAGAACCAATAGAGGAGCTCCTTTCCTTCTGAGTAGCCATGTCTTCTGATGTTGTAGGTGTTTTGATAGTTGAATTCCCCCTGATAGCTCTCATACCATGTTGGACTGAGAAAAGCCCTTAGGATCTTTGCAGGGGTGAACTCTGGGTAGGACTGATGTAAATAGCGGAAGCGTTTAATGAAGAGTTGTGAACCACCTTGCGCTAGTATATGAGGGCAAAGTAGATTGATTAAGGCAAAGAGATACAGGATTATATAAGAGTACAAGGAATACGAAGAGATACAGTTATAACCGCTTTACTGTTACTGTTGCGGTTCAATACAGTGACGACTCGGGCAACTGCTCTATAGCGAGTCAGTTGTGTGTCCTTGCTGTCGCGCTGTACTTGTCAGGTCAAAGGTCGCTGTCCTTTGACTTTCGCGTAACCTCCAGCAGTTGCTCAACCTCCGAGGGTTGACTCGCTAATGCTGCGATATGTTGTGCTTCACTTGTGCCTTGGTGTTTCGACACGACAGAGGTGCTTAGAATTAGTTGTTTCCAACATAATCTGCTCGGTGGTGGTGCTGAGGCTGTGGGCAGAGGTAGCAGAGTAGAAAGCACAGGAGAGACACTTTTGGAAGAGTGACCCGCTGGTGCTCTCGTTGTAACTTGACATCAATAGCATGTTACAACGCATTTACCCTCTTGTACCCTCTGCCTTTCCTCTTTCTATAAGGCATCTTTAGGTTTGCCTTGATGTAGAAAAAAAAAGAGCTTTCACAGCAGTATGTACACACGATAACATCAGCACCAGGTATACAAGACAGTGCCATCCTCTACTCTCGGTGTCATCTTCACGCCGTGACACACTCCTGGAACCTGATGCCCCTCCCCTCATGCCGCCAAGCTTGCTTGGGCGAGGCTTTGTCCTGCTTGTAGCTGGAGCAGAGGGAATTGTCCTCCTTTACGTTGCTGAAATACATGCAAAACCGGCTGCTTTGCGTATGCATACAAGTTGTATGAGACCTGGTGTCGCATCGGTAATGGGGCCCCAAAATAATGGGAGGGAAGGCAGGGGTGGGGGCGAAGGGAATACAAGTGAGTACACGTAAGTTAGAGGGGAGTGTATGGGGCAAATGTGATGGCAACACGTGCACGGGAACTAGGAGGCACAAGGCGAATAGTGGCGCAGAAGGGCAGGGCAGAGAAGGAAAGAGCAGGGATGGAAGGGCATGGGGAGGGAGCGGAGGGGAGGAAGTGGAGGGAGGGATTAGGGAGGGAATGAAGGGGAGGGTAGGAAGGGGACGGAAGGAAAGGAAGGGAAGGAAGAGTAGTGGCAGGAAAGAGAAAGGCAAAGGAATTTGAGGGATGGGGGAAGGGAAGTGGACGGGAGAGGAAGGGAGAGTGGGGGTAGGGGGGGTTGGTTACAGGAAGCAGGAATGGAGGGAAGAGAGGAGCAGAGAGGGAAGGGCGGGAAGAGAGGAGCAGAAAGGGAAGGGAGGGAAGAGAGGAGCGGGAGAGAAGGGAGAGAAGGGAGAGAAGGTAAGGGGGGAGAGAAGGGCGAGAAGGGAGGGAAGGGAGTGAAGGGAGGGAAGGGAGGGAAGGGAGTGAAGGGAGAGAAGGGAGAGAAGGGAGGGAAGGGAGAGACGGAAGATTGGAAGGGAGAAAAGGGTGGTAGGGATGGAAAAGATGGAAGGGAGAAAAGGGTGGTAGGGGGGAAGAGAAGGGCGGGTAGGGAGAGAAGGGAGAAAATAAAGAGAAGGCTGGGAAGGGAGGGAAGGGAGGGACGGGAGAGAAGGGAGAGATGGAAGAGAAGGGAGAGAAGGTAAGGGGGGAGAGAAGGGCGGGAAGGGAGAGAAGGGAGGGAAGGAGGGAAGGGAATGAAGGGAGGGAAGGGAGGGAAGGGAGGGAAGGGAGTGAAGGGTGGGAGGGAGAGAAGGGAGGGAAGGGAGAGAAGGGAGGGAAGGGATGGAACGTAGGGAGGGAACGTCGGGCGACGGAAAGGGGAATAGGGAGGCGGGAAGGGAAGTCTGGCGGCGGGAAATGGGAATCGGGCGGCGGGAAATGGGAATCGGGCGGCGGGAAGGCGCATCGGGCGGCGGGAAGGCGCATCGGGCGGCGGGAAAGGGGAAGCGGGCGGAGGGAACGGGAATCGGGTGGCGGGAACGGGAATCCGGCGGCGCGAAAGGGGAATCGGACGGCGAAAAGGGGCGGTCGGCCGGCCCGCCCAATGGGCGGGCGACGCGGAAGGGGAACCGGGCGGCGGGAACGTGAATCGGGCGACGGGAAAGGGAGTAGGGCCACGGGAAAGGGAGTAGGGCGACGGGAAAGGGAGTAGGGCGACGGGAAAGGGAGTAGGGCGACGGGAAAGGGAGTAGGGCGACGGGAAAGGGAGTAGGGCGACGGGAAAGGGAGTAGGGCGACGGGAAAGGGAATCGGCCGGTGGGAAAGAAGAATCGGGGGGCGAGAAGGGGAATCGGCGGCGAGAACAGGGAGTCGAGCGGCGGGAAGGGGAATCGTGCAGCGTGACTGAGGTTTCGTGGCGGCGGGAAAGGGGAAACGGGCGGCGGGAAGGGGCACCAGGCGACGGGAAAGGGGAATCGGGCGTCGGCGAAGGAGAATCGGGCCGCAGAAAAGAGAATGGCTAAGGCGCCGCCATGGATGCATTCTCACTTTTGATGCGAAATGCTCCGCGTAATAGGTTCCAGAAAATAAACAATGGCTCTGTCGGCGTATGACCTAAGCGTGAGAAGCGCTATAATCGCAATGGCTTGCAGTGCTTTTGGAAGTTACATTTTTTAGTGATGACTATGCACGCTTTGGGAGTGGGGACAGTGGAGAGGAGGCACGTCCTTCAGTATACTGTACTTTTGGCTAGGTATAAACTTTTGACGAGTTAGTCAGGTGAGAGGGGTTGGGTTTGAACTAGTCGCTGTGTTAAGAGGCCGAGAGACCCTGTAATCTGGTTACCACCATGTACCTTTTATTAACTTTTGGCCTTTCCCCTGCCAAATGTATACCGCTGCTTTAAAAATGAAACGCTGCAATGCTCCTCCGGTATGCTGCAGTGGGAGGGCGAAAACGGGTCACTGCAGGGTGCTCCTCAAATCTCGACAGGCGTCGCGTTTCTAGGAATTTTGACACGGCAAAAGCAATGCGACCTTCCTCACAATGAGTGCAAAGGAGATTTCAGCCACAAAACGGTTTGGTCATTGAGATATTGATTGGTTGCGGTGACGTTGCTTGCTTCTGGAAGGTGCCGTGTGGATGGTCCTTACTCTTTGATGACGTGTCGAGCCCTCGACACCGCTTGCCCACAGCCGCTGCTTGAGCGTTCAACTGTTACGATTTCTTGTCGGTCGTGTATCTGCTCCTTGGTCGAATCGTTGGTCCGGCAAAACGCCATTGTATGGGCAGACGAAAAGTATTGGATGAGATTCGTGGCCAACATCTGCACTTTCTAGCCTCAACACCGCCCTTCACCATTTCGTAATGATTTCACTTCCATCGTTTCCACGGTCAATTTCCACTGCCCATGCCATAATCCTCGGTGGCCTTTCGATCTAAATCTGATCTTCGACAAGCTGTCAAATAAAACACGGCCCAGAAAGAACCGTTTGCATCTCCCCGTCCCTTCCATCCACTCCTGCCCTCCAATGCAGCCAACCATTGCACTCCTCTTGATTGTCTCCAGAGGAATCCACCGCAACTGCCTCTTGATATTGCCGAACCTCGCGTCACGCGGGTTTCTCCGCCACTCGTTTTTCGTCTTGCCAGCTTTCCTCCGGGACCTTGGCTTTCCTCGAGCTTGGCTTCCCTTGGGTTGGCTTGGCTGCCCCGAGGTTTTCCTTGGCCTGGGGCTTCCTTGTCCTCCTGAAGCTTGGCTCTCCTAGAGGTCGGTCGTCTTTTGTTTGGTTTGAGTTCTTCAGAGACGGAACTCGACTCGCATTCTCAGGTTCCGCTCCCACACATCAGTTACGGGCGAGGAGGTGTGTGGTTGAGCGAACGTAAGGACAACAGTCCCTGTCCACCTTCTCGCCTGTGTCCTTGGAGCCAATCAGTTGAGCAAATCTGCTAGTGTTTTACTATCTTCTCGACCGGTTTGACCTTCAAAAGTAGCTCCCTCTCGTAGTTTCGCGTTTCCTGAAGTCTTCCGTGTTCGACGGCAGCATCTTGGCGTCCGATAGTCGACGTCTCTAGTGTAATCAGAACAGCTTTGCGAATAATCAAATATATCTGAAGCATCCTACGGCCCACCATTCCCGGCTGTCCCGCCATTGACGGATCCTCAGCCACGACCTATCGTAACTAATCTAGGGAGGACATCTTACAGTAACGTTTCCGTGCTGGAATACTGCGTTCTTTTTGTTGGGTCTATATTAAACTCAAACTTCCTTATTAAGGAGCTTTTTAGTTGGCGCAATTTCGCTATGGTGGACGACGAGATAATCTTCCCGGGCCACATCGACATGGGTGACATGGCGGATCTCATGGTCGGCGAGGCTGACCTGGACGGCTTTTCCGACGACGAGCTTGACGTGGACGAATTGGAACGCCGCATGTGGAAGGACCGCCTCAAGCTGAAGCGGATCAAAGACTGCCAGAAGATTAAGGATGCTCCAGAGGCTCAGGAGAATAAGGAGGACGAGGAGGAGGACGACGACTTTAAGCCGCGCCAGAAACAGTCGCAGCAGGATCAGGCTCGCCGCAAAAAGATGTCGCGAGCGCACGACGGGATTCTGAAGTACATGCTGAAGATGATGGAAGTCTGCAAGGCCCAGGTACCCATTATTACCAGCTCCGTTCAATGATGTGAAAGCGTTAGTTTCTAAATCTCGTTAAACCTTACGCTATTAAGTATGTTTCGCTTCGCAGCACACTGACCTGTCACTTTTTCGTCACATTTTGCGTTGCGTCTCGCGAAACCGTTTCTTGTGACAGGGTTTCGTGTACGGTATTATCCCGGAGAAGGGCAAGCCGGTGGGCGGAAGCTCTGACAACCTGCGCGCGTGGTGGAAGGACCAGGTGCGCTTCGACCGCAACGGGCCCGCCGCCATCGCGCGCTACAACGCGGAGCAGGCTGTAGCGGCCGGCAAGAAGGACCACCAGCCGGCAGGCCTACTACAGCTCACCACGCCAAACACGCTACAAGAGCTTCAGGATACGACGCTCGGGTCGCTGCTATCCGCGTTAATGCAGCATTGCGATCCGCCGCAGCGGAGGTATCCGTTGGAAAAGGGAAACCCCCCTCCGTGGTGGCCGAGCGGGGACGAGGATTGGTGGCCGCAGCTGGGGATGCCACGTGGCAGCGGTCGTCCTCCTTATAAGAAGCCGCACGATTTGAAAAAGGCGTGGAAGGTCGGGGTGCTGACGTCGGTGATAAAGCATTTGTCGCCGGACATCGCACGGATTCGCAAGCTCGTGCGACAGAGCAAGTGTTTGCAGGATAAGATGACGGCGAGAGAAAGTGCCACGTGGCTCGCTGTGCTGGATCAGGAGGAGGCGTCGCTGCTGCACGCGCAGGGGAAGCCGCTTCCGCCGGGCGCGGCGGAATACGACCCCTTCCGCGTCGACCTTCCGCCCTTCGTCTCCGCGAACGGCGGCGTGGGATGCGGTGACTACCTCGCCGGAGCGCTGCAGGCACTTCAGCAGCAACAGCAGCAGCAGCGAAGCGCTGCAGCGGAAGGGGCGACTGCCGGGAAACCCCCCGCTGTGGGCGCCGCCGGCGTCGGCGGAAAGCCCGCCGCCACCATGAAAACCGAGCCGCTGTCGTGGATGCCGGCGGTGACGAATCACATCCCCGCAAATCCTGCCGCCACTGACGCGGCTCCGGGTCAGGCGCCGGGGAATGCCGAAAAGCTGCTAATCTTAGGGGACAGCAGTGATGCTGCTGCTGGGAATCCCGGAGGCGATGATGACGTGGCACCGCCAATTGAGGCGGTGCTTGCGGGGGTTGAGATACTGCCCGAGCACAGAGTTTTCATGTGCCCGTTCGACCGCTGCCCGCGGCACTTGTGGCGCAACGCGTTTTCCGACCGCGCCTCGCGAAACCTTCACCAAGCGAACTGCGCGTTCCGCCCTAGCGGCAAGGGGGAGGGGGATTCCGCCGGTTCCGCGGAAGCCAGCGGTGGCGCAAACGGCAGAAAGAGTGGCGCTGCTGGGGGAAATTCGCGCGCTGACGTTGGCGGGAGCGCAACTGCTGCCGCCGCCGCTGCCGCCGTCGTCTCTGCAAAGACTGTTGCTGCTGCGGCTGCTACAGCTGCTACAGCCGGTACTCCGAAGAAAGCAACGGCCGGAAACGCGCCTGCTCCTGCCACGTCAGCGATATCCTCCGCGCCGCCAGCCGCTGCCGCGAAGGCATCAGGCGGACCGGGCAAGGCTAGAAACGCTTCTGCTGCTGCGTCTGCCGCCGCTTCTGCCGCCGCATCAGCCGCTGCTGCTGTTAACCCCACGTCAGCTTCCACAATGTTCCCTGGAAGCTTCGTCCCGCACATGCCACGTCAGCATCCAGGCGCGCCCGAGGGCAGGGCGCCTTTCCTGCCACCCCACCACCTGCGCCACGCGTCCCTGCTCAGGCAGGGAAGCTTCCCAGGAGATGCCTACCACCCGGGGGGTCCCGGAAATATGATGGGCATGGGCGCAGGTAACATGATGGGGGGAATTCCCCCCTCTCATCCGCCCATCATGGGCCCTCCACCTCCCGCTCCGCCGCTCCCGTACCCCGCGGCGCTGGGCCTGCCAGCTCACGCATCAGGGTATCCTGACGTGTACGGGGGTATGTATGGGCATATGATGGGCATGGGAGGGGGGCACATGGGGATGGGGGGACCGCATGGGATGGGGCCGTATGGGATGCCTCCGCCGCCACATCACTATGCGGGGATGATGATGGCCGCTGCGGCCGCCGCCGCCGCTGCTAATGCTAATGCTGGTGGTGCTGCGAATGGTGCTAACGGTGCTGTCTCTGCCTCTGCTGCTGCTGCTGCGAGGGGAGGTATGGCACGAGCTGGCAACGCTTCTGGTGGGGTTGGGGAGGAGGCGTTTCGGGAAGTGATGCTGCAAGGACAGGCGATGCAGCAGCAGAGAAGGAACGACGCAAAGCAGCAGCAGCAGCAGGGGTTTTTGCAGGGAAGAGCCGACTCTCAGGAGCAGGGAGTGCAGGGAGAGGAGCAAAACGAGGGCAGCAGCAACGCTCGCTCTGCTTCCTTAAACCCCTTGGCTCGAGTCACTGCCGCGTCTCTCCCTCCCTTCCGCCGCAACTACAGCGATCAGAACCTTCCGCTGTGCGCGATCACTGGTGGTGTTGCTAGTGGCGTGGCTGGTGGTATGGCATTAGGCGGCAGGGGTGGCGCTACTGCTGCAGGAGGGGGTTCGGGGCGGAGCAACCTCGGCATGCTTCCTTCCCAGCTGCACCAGCAGCAGCAGCAGCAACAAGAGCAGGAGCAGCAAACAGCGTTTCAAGAGCTTTCTGCTGCCGTGGCTGCTGCAGCTGCTGCTAGCAGCGGCGCCAGTGCTGCCAGTTCTGGCGGCGGAGTGACGGTTGGGGCGAAGCGGAGGGCGTTATCCGATGCGGAGGCTGTTCTCGCCAGCAACCCGGACTTTTTCGCCTCGGTCCTCGAAGATTCATCGAATCTGGACGGTATGATTCATCTAGAGGGCATGCTGCATCAGCAGCAGCAACCGAGCTTGGGATCTCCCCATGAGACTATTACGGATGATGGGGCAGGTCGGGGAGGAGGTTCGGGCCAAGCCGGAGCAGCAGGTTCGGGGATGATGTCATCTAATGCTAATGCTAATGGTATTGCAAACGGCAATGGTACTGCCAGTGGTAATGGTGGGGACGCTGGTGGGGCAGCCGTGGAGCAGAGCGGAGGGGGTCCGGTGGGGATGGAAGAGGATGTGGATGACAGCTTGTTTGGGTTCAGCTTTGGAGCGATAGGGAATCAGGACCACATGAGACTGCTCAACAATCTCATGGATGAGGAATTGTGCTACTTCGGTGCATGAAGGGTGTCTCAGCATTGTGGTTGAAAATGAGGATCAGATGTATGAGAAGCTGTGTTGTTTAGGTGTTTGAGAAATTACTTGGATGCATTTGGCTAGTGCTGTAGATGTGGCAATCAGATGTGGCAATCAAGGTGATGAGGTGAGACTGTTTTAACAATCTGATGCTAGACTAGCTTGACCAAGGAGTTTGTTGGCTATCGATGTATTTCATGTTTCCTAGTAGACAATCCTTGTTTTTTCCATTGTGCATAGCGTGTACAAAGCAGCAGGATTTGATTGCAAACCACTACTGTACAACAACTCATTTTTAGTGGAACTTGTAGGTAGATATAATATATGTCAAACGTCACCCATATTTATGGTATGTACAATAGGGGGGGAATACATTGAAAATCACCATTACACAGTCATTGGTAAGTACAACTGTTTTGTAACCACACTAATGCAACTCATACACAATGACTGCAAGTAGGCTAGGCACCAAAGTACCAAATAAGATCCTCATCCATGAAAGGATCAAATCCAAAGTTGTCCAGAATCGGAAGATTCTGCACCATCATCATCCCATCCAGCTGCCCCTGCTGCTCTCCTCCCTCCTGCGCCTCCCCTACCCCTCCTCCCCCAACCTCATGCCCAACCCCTCCCACTGCTCCCATCACATCATGCTGCATGTCATGCGACACATGGGACTCATCCTGCATCACCATAGCCATAGCCATCCCAGGATTTGCTACAGTAGTTTCTGCTCCCCCTTGCTCTGCACTTGCATCTGCCCCTGTTCCAACTGTCTGCCCTGCCTGCTGCTGGTATTGTTGCTGCATCTGAAACAGCTCATACTGCTGCTGCTGCTGGTACTGCTGATAATGGTGCTGGTACTGATGCTGCTCATACTGCCGCTGATACTGTTGCTGGGTGGGTGCATGTGGGTTCCATACCCCATGTGCATGAGCCTGCACATTTGCATGTGTATGACCCTGAGCAGGTGCATGTGTATGGGGGTGTGAACTGGGATAAGGATGTAAATATCCCCCATCGGACGTACCACCACCTTCACTCGCAGGCTCATTGTGTGTTTCACGTGTCTCCCCTGCTGGTAACCCCACAGCCAAGTGCAGTAAAGACCATTGCCCCTCTCCCTCTGCCTCTCCCGCGACTTCCCCTCCTCCTCCCGCCCCTGCTTCTCCCCCTGCCACTCTCCCAGCAGTTGCTGCCACCTGTCTTCCCTGATCTCCTGATTCTCCCTCTCTCGTCCCTCCTCCCTCCCTCACTCCCCTCCTCCTCCTGCTGTTGAAACTCATCCCCCTCTCTAAAGCCGCAGGAGGTAAAGGCTCTATTTCTTCCTCTCGCTCCCCTCCTCTCTCCCCTCCTCCTTCCCCTCCTCTTCCCCTCCTACCACTCCCCCCTTCCTCAGCCAAAGCTCGGCTGTGGGTCCTTCTACACCCCCCTTGGGATTGCTCCCTGTTCAGAACCTCCCGAGCCTGTGCCTCAGGTTCGGACTGAGCCAGGACCTCAGCTTGGGTCCGAGCCTGCGCAGGTCCCCGGGCAGAGGTTGGAGACCGAGCCTGCGCTTGAGCTTGGGCAAAGGCTCGGGCGTAGGCTAGGGCTTGGGCGGGAGAGAGGTGGAGGCGGGGGGAGTGGCGGTTGTGGGGGGACAGAGTGGGCCGAATGGGGGAATTCGTGGGAGGAGTGTGATGAGGGGAAGGATTGTTGGGGGAGAGGGAGTGGAAGAATGGAGAGGGGGGACGGTTGGGGGAAGAAGGGGGAATAGAGGTGGAGTGAAAGGGAGGTTGGAAGGGGTATTGGGGGGAAGGCTGGAAGGGGAACTGGGGGGAAGGCTGGAAGGGGAACTGGGGGGAAGGGCGGAAGGGGGAGTTAGGGAAGGGGAAGTTGGGGGGGAGGGTGAGGGAGGCGCGTGGGGAAACGGAGGAGGGGCGGGGGGAGGAGGAAGATGGGTGGGGGGAGGTGAGGGAGGGGTGGGTTGATCCTGGTTGACTGTGGGAGGATGGAGGGTTGGAAGGAGAAGGGTAGTGATTGTACTGACTTGAATGGGGGTGCGAGGGAGGGTGAAGGGAAGTGCGAGTGTGGGAGTGAGTGTGGGGTGACATGGCACGAGGGAGAAGGTAGGGATTGGGATGCGGCATTTGGAGGATGTGTGAGGGGTGAGTGAGTGAGTGTGACTGTGCGGGAAGGGGTGTGGGGCGACAGGGGAAAGATGGGACTGATGGGGCTGAAGCATCAGCAGCGGCGTCATTACCAGCAGCACTGCCATCAGGAGGAGCAGCAGTGCCATCAGGAGAAGCAGCAGTGCCATCAGGAGGAGCAGCAGTGCCATCAGGAGGAGCAGCAGGGGCCTCTGACACAACAGCAGCAGCATCAGCGCCACTGGGGAGAGTAGGAACAGTTGCCGTATTGGCCTGAACAGCAGATGCAGCTGTATTAGCGGCAGCAGCACCGATTGCTCCTGCAGCACCATCGGAATGAGCTGGTGTCACACCCTCTTGCTCTCCTTGCTGTTCCTGCTGCCGCTGCTCCTGCTGCCGCTGCTCCTGCTGCTGCTGATGCTGCCCCTGCAGATTCTGCTGCTGCTGCTGCTGCTGCAGTAATCTCCCCTCTTCTCCATTGCCTTCTCCCCCACTCGCACTGTGCCACGTGACACCCTGTGATGAGCTGCGAACGACGATTTGGGGGCGTCTCGCATCAGGATATGTGTGAGAATGCTGCAGGGGGGAATGTAGATATTGCAGGGGAGTGTGTGAGGAAGCAGGAGGATGGGAGGCAGAGTGTTGGGATGTGTGAGTTGCAGTGCCCAGGGTTGCTGCGAGGAGCTGAGTTGCAGACCCTGACAGTTCATACTGCTGCTGCTGCTGCTGTTGTTGGTGGTTGTGGTGGTGGTGGTGGTGGTGGTGCTGCTGCTGCTGCTGCTGTCTCTCCCCCATTCCTGATCCTCCTGCTCCCCGTGCCACTGCTGCTACTGCTGCTCCCAACCCAGCCGCTGCTGCACTGTCAGCAGCAGCAGCAGCAGCAGCAGCAGCAGCAGCAACAGCAGCTTGTGAAACCCCCTCTTCCCGGGATGTAACGCCGCCGGAAGCAGCACCAGCCACCTCCCTTTCCCCATCGTTTCCCCCATCATCTCCCCCACCCTTCCCATCCGCCCCCAGCATCTCCCCCAAGTCCGCCTCTCCCCCGTCCTGCAGAACAACTGACACTGCTTGCACTGCAGTAGCTGTAGCAGCAGCTGTAGCAGTAGCTGTAGCAGGAGTTGTAGCGGCAGCTGTAGCAGCATCAGCAGACCCAGATGCATCAACAGTAGCAGCAGAAGAAGAAGCAGCAGCAGAGGAAGCACCGGGAGCAGAAGGAACGTTCCTGGAAGCCTCAGCAGCAGCAGCAGCAGTGACATCAGCAGTGACATCAGCGGGAATAGAGGGGGTGGATGCTTCAGGAGCGGCAGCAGATGGGGTTAACCTGGTGGTGACGTCACCAGAACCAGCAGCAGCAGCAGTCGCGATGGGCTGTTGTGCTTGTAACGAATGTGCTTGTATTGGATATGCTTGTAACGGGTATGCTTGCATGGGGTGGGGCTGGCCGCGAGACCGGGATCGAATCACCACAGGGGTGACAAGCCTGGGCATATTGGACAAATTAGGTCCAGTACTGCAAGGTTCGGCACGAATAGGTACGGCAACATGAGGTCCGGCAGGATGGCCTCCAGGACCAAAGCTGTTGCTCAGGAGTGGGGATCCTAGAAGCATGGGCTGGGGCACTTGGTATGGCACCATTGCCGAGCCTTGGGGTAGAGGCTCGGCAGGGAGGTTCGGAAGGGACTGGGAGGGTATGAGGTGGTGTTGGGAATAGGGATTTGAGTGAGTGTGGAGGTGAGGAGGGAGGAGGCGAGTGTGTGGGGCCAGGAGGGGTTGAGAGGTGGCATGAGGGAGAGAGGAGGGATGTGATGAGGGAAGGGAGGAGGGGGGTGTGGAGGAGTGAGGAGGGGGAGCAATAAAAGCACCGGCATGGGTATAAGCAGGAGCATCGTCAGCCATTGATTGCATCTGCATCAACGGCAGGAATAGCTGCTGCTGCTGCTCCTGACTAAGATGCTGGCTCGAGTGCTGGTTCGGTAGCTGACTAGGGTGCTGGTTTGGGCGCTGGTGCGGGTGCAGCTGGTATGGCTGCTGGTACATCTGCTGGTCTGGCTGCTGGTTCGGCATTGCCATGCCTGAAGCAGAGGCTTGGGAGAACTGAGCTGCTTGTGCTTGTGACTGCCATGCCAAAGAATGCATGCTACTGTGTACCGGCGCGTGTGATTGCACCACCACCTGGGGTTGCACCTGGGGTTGCACCTGGGGCCGCAACTCAGCCTGAGCTTCCGTGCCTGCTGCATAATTTTGTGACTGTGCCTGCTGCACTTGCTCCTGCTCCTCACCCTGTGCTTGAGCCTGTTCCTGTGCCTGTGATTGTGCTTGCGCCCGTATGGATTGGCTAGGCTGCTCGGAAGTGACTAAAGCGGGGTTGAATGATCCAGGGGTGATGGTCGGTTGAGCAGATGGCGGAGTGAGTGTGGGTGGAGCGGAGGGAGGGAGTTTGAGCAGGGAAGAATGAGAAGAGCGGCGACGAAGGGGAGGAGGGGGAGCAGCAGGGGTAGCACCAGCACTGCTGGTAGGAGCACTTGCAGCCGGAGCATCAGCAGCATCAACAGAAGCAGCAGCACCAGCAGCAGCAGCATCAGCAACAGCAGCACCAGAAGCAGAAGAGGCAGCAGTACCAGGAGCAGCAACAGGAGCAGGAGTAGGAGCCGCAGGAGAAGCATCAGCAGGAGCAGGAGCAGGAGTAAGGGGAGAAGAAACAGCAGCAGTAGTAGCACCAGGAGCAGCAGCGGCGTCTCGGTAGGGGCACATAGCCTGATGCCCGTTTCGGGCAGCCCGGTCGGGAAAACCACAGCCTGCCCGGCTCCTTGGGCAGGTGGGGAACGGGCAGTAAAACGTTCGGTCATCATCCTGTGCGGGGCCAACGTCTAAGACGTAGGTTCCAAGGGCATGCGCATGGGGATCCGCATGGGAATGGGAATGGGCATAGGTGTGGGGAGCATGGGGTTGGGCGTTGGCATAATATGGGTGCATGTGCATCTGCATGTGTGCATGTGCATGTGCAGGGTGGGTGGGTTGGATGTGCGTATGTGACAGTGCCTGTGTGCCATGCATCCCTGGAGGTGTTGCTGCTGGAGCTGTTGCTGCTGCTGCTGCTGTTGTTGTAGCTGCTGCTGCTGATCCCACTGCTCCTACAGCTGATTCTGCCCCTCCTGTTGCTCCTGCTGCTTCTGTTGCTCCTCCTGCTGCCCCTCCTGCGGCTCTTACAGCTGCCGCTCCTGCTGCTGCCGCTGCTGCTGCTGCATATGATGACACTGATTCCAAGCGCGACCCATGCAACTGGCCGTTGCAGCAACCACAAGGAACCAGCACCTGTCCAGCACCATCTGGCACCGTACTCAACCGCACAGAACTGTCCTGCACCGTACTCAACTGCCAGGCACCGTCCCGAACCTCCCTGACCAGCTCAGCAGTCTGGACAACCACCATCGCCCCTCCTTGCTGCCTGCTCCCATCCTCTCCCCCACCCAACAACATCATCATCCCCCCTCCCCCTACTCCCCCTCCTCCCCCTTCAACAATCCCCCCAACGTCCCCACCAGCAGCAGACACCCCCGCCCCTGCCATTCCCCCTGCCCATACGCCCCCGACTCCCGCCATCCCCCCTGCCCCTACCCCCGCCACTCCCCCCACTCCCCCCACTCCCCCCACTCCCGCTCCTCCCCCTCCCCCTGCCCCAACTCCCGCCATTCTTCTCTGCCTTCTCTTCTTCTGCCGCTGCCCGTCGCTGCTGTACGGATCATAGTCCTCCTCTATATCCCACTCATCCCCATCCTCCTCTCCTCCTCCCCCTCCACCTCCGGCTGCTGCTCCTGCTCCTGCTGCTCCAGCGCCAGTGCCTGTTTTTCTCTGCCCGTTTTGCTGCCCGCCCGAGCTGGTTGCAGCTCCACTGCCCTCGAGAAGCTGCAAGCTGTTCGCCGACCTGCCCGTGGGCAGCTCGCCGGAAATTCTTTCCTGCCCGGTCCCATTACCAACACCGGCACCAGCAGCACCAGCAGTACCAGCAGCAACAGTAGATAGGTCACCGTTTTGGAGTTTGATTGCTCGCTCTTCGTTATTCAGTATCGCGAGCCAAATGCTCGTCTCCAGTGCTGACATCTTATTCTGGTAGCGGGGAGTGCAATAGAGGGTACAAGGGGAAGGAAATGGAATGAGGAGGGGGAGGAGGGGGCATGTGCTTCATGACCGTCGCCAGCATGGCCGCCTTGGCCCCCTTCTCCAGATCATGCAGCTGGCGGTCCATCAGAGAGAGAGAGAGCGAGAACAGTAAAGAGCGAGGGAGCACACCTGTAACCCCTTGTTCTGCCGAATCAGCCGTCTCATCTTTGCCACATCCGGCAGCATGTGTTTAATAACCGTCGCCAGCACAGCCGCCTTGGCCACCTTCTCCAGATCAGAACAGGCGGCTTGGAGTCCATGAGAGAGCAGAGAGCAGAGAGCAGAGAGCAACAGACAAATGCATGCATACCTGCAGCCCCTTGTTCTGGCGAATCAGTCGCCTTATCTTTGCCACATCCGGCAGCATGTGCTTAATAACCGTCGCCAGCACGGCCGCCTTGGCCACCTTCTTCAGATCATGCGGCTTGCGGTAGGGCGGCAGTCCCGACTCTCCAGCGCCGCCCGGGCTCGTGATTTGATTCAGCCCGAGCCCCTGGGAGAGAGCGCCCCACCAGGGCTCGTTGCCTGACGGCCACCAAGGGGGGGCTACGCCCTTGTCCAGGGGGAACTTGCGCTGAGGGGGAGAGCAGTGCTGGTATGGGGGAAACGGGGGGGGGGGGGGGGGGGGGGGGAAGAGGGTTCGGGGGAAAAGGGGAAGAAGTGGATAAGGCAGGAGGAGAGGGGGAGAGAAACGAGTCCGAGGGGAGTGGAAATGGGAGAGAGCGCCCCACCAGGGCTCGTTGCCTGACGGCCACCAAGGGGGGGCGATGCCTTTATCCAGAGGAAATTTGCGCTGGGGGGGGGAGCAGTGCTGGTATGGGGGAAAGTAGGAGGGGAAAGAAGAGGGTGTGGAAAAGGGGAAGAAGCGAGTAAGGCAGGAGAAAAACGGGCGGGGGAAGTGGAAGAGGGAGAGAGCGCCCCACCAGGGCTCGTTGCCTGGCGGCCACAAGGGGGGGGTGACGCCCTTGTCTAGTGGGAACTTGCGCTGGGGGGGGGAGCAGTGCTGGTATGGGCGGACAGGAGGTTATGGGGGAAAAAAAGGAGGAAAAAGGGGGTTAAGGAGGGGAAGAATTGAACAGGGCACGAGATGGACCGCCCCACCAGGGCTCGTTGCCTGGCGGCCACCAAGGGGGGGCGACGCCCTTGTCCAGGGGGAACTTGCGCTGGGGGGGTGAGCAGTGCTGGGATGGGGTGAAAACGAGGAGGGGATAGAGGGCGGAGGGGAGTGGGTGCGGGGAGAGGGCGTGGGGAAAGGGGAAAATCGGACAAAAAGTTGAGCACATCGGTATGAGGGCAGTCAGCATATGTGTATAAGCACAGACAGCAGATCTATTTAGACGCCCCCAGCCGCTCAGACGGTATTTACAGCAGATCCAACCCTACCCCCAACCCTCCTCCTCCCGCCTCTACCTGCATGAGAGCCAACAGCAGCGACCCCAGCGTGGTATCCTGCAACTCCAGCAGCGAGTGCAGAGGCATGACTCCCTGACCTCCCTCCTCCTCTCCTCACCGTTCCCAGCCTTTCTCAACCTCACCGTTCCCAGCCTTTCTCAACCTCACCGTTCCCAGCCTTTCTCAACCTCACCGTTCCCAGCCTTTCTCAACCTCACCTACATTAAAGCAGACAGCAGCGACCCAAGAGTCGTATCCTGCAACTCAAGCAGCGAGTGCAGAGGCATGCACGTGGGAGCCTGCAGAGGTTCTCATTACCTGGCCTCCCTCCTCCTCCCCTCACCCTTCCCACACAGGATTTCACCCCCTCACCTGCATCAAAGCAGACAGCAGCGACCCCAGCGTGGTATCCTGCAGCTCCAGCAGCGAGTGCAGAGGCATGCACGTGGGCGCCAGGCCCCCTGCGCCTCCCCCGCCCTCCCCTCCCCCTGCGCCTCCCCCCATGGCCGCCGCCCGTTCCGCCTCAAACTTGGCCAGGGCTGCCGGGCCGTTCTTGTCGAACCGAACCTTGTCCTGTCCCTCACGCCTTCCCACCTTTTCGAGGTGACTTTTGAGTCGACTCAAAAGTCACCTCGTTTTGAGTCGACTCAAAAGTCACCTCGTTTTGAGTCGACTCAAAAGTCACCTCGTTTTGAGTCGACTCAAAAGTCACCTCGTTTTGAGTCGACTCAAAAGTCACCTCGTTTTGAGTCGACTCAAAAGTCACCTCGTTTTGAGTCGACTCAAAAGTCACCTCGTTTTGAGTCGACTCAAAAGTCACCTCGTTTTGAGTCGACTCAAAAGTCACCTCGTTTTGAGTCGACTCAAAAGTCACCTCGTTTTGAGTCGACTCAAAAGTCACCTCGTTTTGAGTCGACTCAAAAGTCTTGTCGAACCGAACCTTGTCCTGTCCCTCACCCCTTCCCACCTTTTCACCCTTTCAACCTCTCACCCGCTCACCTGCATGAGAGCAGACAACAGGGAACCAAGCGTAGTATCCTGCAACTCCAGAAGTGAATGTAGAGGCATGCAAGTGGGCGCCAGTCCCCCTGCGCCTCCCCCGCCCTCCCCTCCCCCTGCGCCTCTCCCCATGGCCGCCGCCCGTTCCGCCTCAAACTTGGCCAGAGCTGCCGGGCCGTTCTTGTCGAACCGAACCTTGTCCTTCCACCAGGCTCGGAGGTTGTCGGAGCTGCCCCCAACCGGCTTGCCAGCCTCGGGAATGACGCCGTAGACGAACCCGCGCGCGTGGCAGAGCTCCATCATTCGCAGCATGTGCTTCAGGATTCCGTCTTGTGCTCGCGCCATGCGCTTTCGCATTGCTGGTTCCTGCAGGGATAGGGGCAGGGAGAGAGGCGTGAGGGGATACACGAACCCCCGCGTGCGTGGCAGCGCTCCATCATTCGTGGTGGTGGGGGCAAAGCTCCAACAGGCACACAGGTAGCCTCGGGAATGACGCCGTAGATGAACCCGCGCGCGTGGCAGAGCTCCATCATTCGCAGCATGTGCTTCAGGATTCCATCCTGTGCGCGCGCCATGCGCTTGCGCATCGCTGGTTCCTGGAGTGGGCAGGGCAGAAGGAAGAGGAGAGGGAGGGAGGTCTATGCACGTGCCTCTGTGCCTCTGTGCCTCTGTGCCTCTGTGCCTCTGCGCCTCTGCGCCTCTGTGCCTCTGCGCGCGTGGCAGAGCTCCATCACGCGCAGCATGTGCTTCAGAATGCCGTCTTGGGCTCGTGCCATGCGCTCGCGCATCGCTGCTTCCTGGTAGCGTGGGGGTGGCAGGGAGCAGTGGTGGCGTGGGGGGCGCGGAGGAGGGAACATGCATGCATGAGCTTTAGAATGCCGTCCTGCACCTGCAGGGAACCAATTTTGAGAGTTCCGAAAAGCCGTCCGACTCGGCACCCGGCTAGCGCATCCCTGCTTCCTGGAGGGGAGGTGGTGGCGAGAACGGGGGGGCGGGAACACGCACCCTTTCACTCTAAACTGCCTGCACGGGAGTGACGTGTAAGTCGTCTCAGTCGACTCAAAAGTCACCGCGGGAACACGCACCCTTTCACTCTAAACTGCCTGCACGGGAGTGACGTGTAAGTCGTCTCAGAAGTCCCTTCTCCTTCTATCGTCCCTATAGCTTCTCGACCCCAGCACCACTACTTGATGAAAAGTGTTGTTTTGAGACGACCCCAGCACCACTACTTGATGAAAAGTGTTGTTTTGAGACGACCCCAGCACCACTACTTGATGAAAAGTGTTGTTTTGAGACGACCCCAGCACCACTACTTGATGAAAGCGTTGTTTTGAGACGTCTCAAAACGACCCCAGCACCACTACTTGATGAAAGCGTTGTTTTGAGACGTCTCAAAACGACCCCAGGACCACTACTTGATGAAAGCGTTGTTTTGAGACGTCTCAAAACGATCCCAGCACCACTACTTGATGAAAGCGTTGTTTTGAGACGTCTCAAAACGACCCCAGCACCACTACTTGATGAAAGCGTTGTTTTGAGACGTCTCAAAACGACCCCAGCACCACTACTTGATGAAAGCGTTGTTTTGAGACGTCTCAAAACGACCCCAGCACCACTACTTGATGAAAGCGTTGTTTTGAGACGTCTCAAAACGATCCCAGCACCACTACTTGATGAAAGCGTTGTTTTGAGACGTCTCAAAACGACCCCAGCACCACTACTTGATGAAAGCGTTGTTTTGAGACGTCTCAAAACGACCCCAGCACCACTACTTGATGAAAGCGTTGTTTTGAGACGTCTCAAAACGACCCCAGCACCACTACTTGATGAAAGCGTTGTTTTGAGACGTCTCAAAACGACCCCAGCACCACTACTTGATGAAAGCGTTGTTTTGAGACGTCTCAAAACGACCCCAGCACCACTACTGCCTGATCGATCCTGAGTGGCTTGAGAGCCAACTGAGAAGACGTACCCTTTCCTCCTCTTCTCCCTGTAGCTTACTCGACCCTGCCACCAGTAACACCCGATCCATCCCAAACTAATTGGCAATCCCCTCAAAAGAAGGCCCCTCTCGTCGTCCTCTTCCCGATATAACTTGCCCGATCCCAGCACCACTACCCCAGGTGCCTTGCTTGTCGACTCAAAGTTCCCCCTCCTCCTCTCTCCCTATAGCTTGCTCCACCCCATCATCCCTAACCCAACACCAGTAATACCTAATCGGTCCGGGTGACTTGTGAGTCCACTCAGAAGTCAACCCTCCTCCTTTTGCCCCTAACAGCTTGCTCCACCTCAGCACCACTCCTCTTCAATCGATCGCCCCCTCCGCTGCCTTGACTGCCCAGGAACTGACTGGCAGATCAATCCTGGTGACTTGTGAGTCGACTCACAAGTCGTCACTCCTCCCCTTCGCGCCTACAGCTTGCTCAACCCCAGCACCACCACTGTTCGATCGATACTCCCCTCCGCTGCCTTGACTGCTCAGGCACGGAAGCAGATCCAGACTATAGATAAGCCTGGATAACACTGAATCTTTCTGGGACCCCTAAGCTAAGGAGATCCTCCTGACTCGAGTACCCGGGAACTAAAGCCGATACTGACAGCAGGTTAAGCCGGGATGATTGCATGTGCCGCGTGACCTCTTAACGGGGTAAACTGGCAGGAAAATTCAGAGAACAGGGTCCCGAGGAGAAGAACGACGTCTGAAGGACAAGATGCCTGTCTAGTTCTCCTCGTGTCAAGGGCCTGTGACATGATCACCTGACACACGATCACAGGAACGCGCACCCTAAGTTCGCCGCACAACTCAAAAGTTGTGCCTTTGGTCTACTTTCCCCGTAACGGATCGGCTCAGATGAGCAACTGGTATAAGCATCACCCTTCGCAACTTTAGGAGTGGTTTTAAGCCGTATTGTTCTGCCCGAGTCGTGTCTCGCATCCTGTAATCTGTAATTAAGTTGGGTCTGTAACTACCAACTCTACACCAACCACCAAAAGAGCCATGGTTCTTACCAGTAAGAGCTGATAGGAAGAGGGAGGGAACGGAGGAGAGGGAAGAGAGAGTAGATCAGGAGAGGGTAGATCAAGGGGGAAAAAAATAGGCACTGTGGGGTGTCTGATCAAAGATGGTCGCTTGGCCATTTTTTTTGGTAGACACAAGCAAGGCGACGTGGGGAGATGAGGCTGTGGGGTATCTGACAAAGATGGTGGTTTTGAACGCTTACTTCAAGCAAGGAAGATGGGCTAGCCTGATTTTAAGCATACCTGCTACCACACAAAGCACTTAACTAAGTGGCGGTGCATAATCACTACCTGCAGCTTCTTCTGCCGTGCCCGTTGAGCCTCTTCCTTAGCCTTCCGCATTTCCTTCAACCGTTGCAACTTAAACTGGTCCCGCTGAACCCGCTTCTCCAACTCGTCTATATCCATCTCATCATCACTTAGTCCCTCATCTTCCGCCTCCTCTTCCGCCTCCCCCGCTGAGTTCCCCCTCTCGTCCGCCATCGCCAGAAGCCTCCCCGCGGTCCCTGCGCCGTCCCCCCCGTTTGCGCCTGCTCCGCCCGTTTTTCCGCCCCTTACTACCCCCTCTACTGCGGGGTGAACTGCGGTTTCGCCCATGTCCTCACCCTCGTCATCATCTCCCCGCGGCCGTGTCATCCGATGCCGCTGAGGCCTGGAGGCTTTTAACGACCCTCTCTTAGCTAAGTGCGTGGTTGTGAATGGCCGGCCTATATTGTCAAAACCAGGAAACTTCAAGCACAGGAAGAGTATACACTCCTACACGGCTCTTGCTACAACGTACAGTCGATCCGTTAAACTGCTGACTCCGCATTAGTTGAATTCGCAGTAGCTACTATGCGTACTTTACTTCTCTCCCGCACTTGGCGCTGCTAAGCCGTTATAAACTTTTAGAAGCGATGTCGACCTGTGCGATCTGACCAACCCAATAAGAGAGTCGCTTGTCGCACGAGCTGAAGGCTAGCTAATGTATAGTGTCGCTTCGTCCTACTTCCGTGGTCGGCGGTGCGAGAGAACACCTGGCGGATCTCCCGCGCACTGCGCAGTACACACGTACTGTGATGCTTCTCGGCTTCTCGGCTTCTCTCTGCTTCCTACAGCTAGCGCGATGCCTCGCACCTTACTACGAACCAATCAAACCGACAATTGAATTGTAAATGGACCGACTGCCTAAAACAGTTCTGCTAAGCGAACAGCAGGACGCGGGAAGAGGAGAGGAACTGTACGTTGCTTTCAACAACAACTAGTTGCAACTAGTAGTTGCAACAGTAAGAGATTATTCTTTTCTGCCTGCCCGTGTGGATCGCTATGCTAGTAGGCGTGCACGACTTATCGACGACCTTGCTTCAACGAGCCATCAGAACGAGACCGGAAATCCCGCAGCAACTTGGCGACTTACGCCGTCCTTTCTCATCCCATCTCAGCCGATCAACGACGATCGATCGTCGAGGAAATCCGACGGAAAATCTTTCGCACTGAGTGTGGCTCATGGGAGAGCGATTAGCCGTTGCGCTGTACATGAACGCTACACTGGAAAAGCAGCGGACCGGGGGAGCTAAAAGGCGGAAGGCTCTGCGCGAGGGTCGAGATTATCAGGCGATTCACGGGAGACTGCGCAAAATGACCCCCGCGCGCGACAACATTCCGTAGGAAACGGGAGGGACAGAAGCAGGCAGCAGCGCATCGCCGCCAAGTTCTGTTCTGATTTGGTACCACCCAAGTGGTGGAACCTCGAGAGCTGCGACGATAAAATAACTGTACAGGTGTCCGTAATCCCTGCCCTCCCGACAGCAATTCAAAAGCTGGAGCCTCGAGCAGGGAAACGCGACGGGCAATGAGGGTGGGTCTCAAATATTTGCTAACAAGTTTTTTGGGATGGTTCTGTGTGATGCGCAATGTTTTGAAGCGGTACAGACGTAAATTGACCTCAACCGAAGGTTGTGCAGCTGAATGGCTGTGGTTTGGAAAAAGGCCCGTCCGTCACCAGTCAGCCATGCTTCCTCCCGCAGCAGCAGTCGGACCCTGCGGAAATCTGTTCAGACTAGCGGCTTTTTCTCGGGTGTCACAGCCCTGGGTGAGATCGACGCACGCGATGCTTCTGCTGGGCACACCGCGACGGACGAACGGCGACGATATCCGGCGGAAAAAGCGTTCCGAACAAGTGTGATGACGAATGGCAAGTGCCACATGTCAAAGTCTCCAGACCGGATAGTGAAAGTGCGAGCCAAGCCGCCTTTCAGAAGGGTGGAAAAAAATGATTGGCTAGACAGTGGCACAGCAGAGTGTTTCATCAGTCCCCTCCTCTCACGACCTTCGCAGCGAGTTGGTTGACGAGGCTGTCTGCATGCAAAGAATCCGTCACTATGAGGATGGACAGATTCATTCCCCCAAACCCTGGTCTGGCGAGAGTGCGTGGTCAGAGTTCGTTGAGCCTCGACAGCGTGAAGGTAAAGGTTGTCTTTTGTGCCGCACCGCGATAGCGACGCTGACCTGTCCAAATGCAATGTTCTCGAAAATCTGGTGGGAGGATGATGTTGGAATGGGTGAACGGTATGCTGCGTCACAAGGTAACTCATCAGCCAGGCTGTAATGAATACGAATTCATTACTGTAGAGGCTGCTCCTAGCCCGAGGTTCGGTCTACACTTCGCGTCAGTTTCGAGGTTCGGCCTACAGTTCGGCCTACACTTCGGCCCGAACCACCCCCGAGTCGCCCCGCACCAATCGCGACACTTCCAAACCCATCCACGTCCGGAGGTCCTCGCCTACCACGGTTTCGACCCTATAAATGCATGCCTCTTTATCATTCTTGACATTCTGGGTTCGACATCCTTTTTATAAAGTCTTCCGCGCACTCTTAGTACATCTCATAACACAGGCATAGCTGGCTAGCTGTTATTTCTAGACATTCCTTAGGTCGTATCTCCAGCAAGTGTCAAGAAGGGCTAGTGTCATGACACCAACTCATGGAGGACTATCCCTCCTGGTGTCAGCTAAACAAACCAATGTGATCGGGAGAAATCATCCAATGTGCCCAACATTGACACCAGGCTGGAGTCGCGCTCACACACGGCGCCACTTGGTGACAACCGTTAACAACGCTTGACACCAAGCCCTTCTTGACACTTGCTGGAGATAAGACCTTAACGCATCCTGCAACATCGCGTACAGCAGCAGCCGTTGTTCGCCATTACTGCTAACGGGACTTTGACGACTTCGCGCGCACTGTTTCACCGAACCATGCACCGCTGGCCCGGCCGTGTCGGCCTACGCTTCGGGACTAGCCCGAGCCTCGATGCCAGACTAGCACTAGGTAGCTCGCATGCACCGCGTTACCGTTTGCATGTTTCGCGTATCAATGTTCGCTCATGCCTTCGCTCACATTTTGTACTCGTTTGACACTTGGTGCTGTTGGAAACAATAAACTCTAAGCGCCTCTGTCGTGTCGAAACACCAAGTCAAAAGCGAAGCGAAGCATATCGAAGCACTGGCAAGTCAACCCTCGGAGGTTGAGCAGTTGCTGGAGGTTACGCGAAAGTCAAAGGTCAGCGACCTTTTGACCTGACAAGTACAGCGCGACAGCGAGGACACACAACTGACTCGTTACGGAGCAGTTGCCCGAGTCGTCACTGTATCGAGCCGCAACAGCAACAGTAAAGTAGTTATAACTGTATCTCTTCATATTCCCTGTACTCTTATATAATCATGTATCTCTTTGTTTTAATCAATCAACTTTGCCCTCACATACTATTGCAAGGTGGTTCACAACTCTTTATTAAAATGCCCCCGCTACTACACCAGTCCTACCCAGAGTTCACCCCTGCAAAGATCCTAAGGCCTTTTTTTTTTCAGCCCAACAGGTGCAATCCTCGCTACTGTACCCCGATTCATTACACCCGTAACACTAGCATTTCTTACTCGTTGAATACGAGCCACATGATAGCAAGTACACATACAAACGGACTATGAATATTTATGAATAATTTTCACTCAGTCGTTGAAATTATGCCATGTTTAAATATGATTTGAAAGAATTATTTAATTACCTCTGTGTATACTTGTAGTACGGTCAAAATATATACACTAGATGAAACAAACAGTGCATAGAGCATGTATTTACAGGAATTTGCTTGCTAATGCCATCATCCTGTCGATCTTTGACTCTTCAAGGAACCGTTACAAGCACGTGACCTTTCACCCATCTCTCTTTTCTCCTCCGAGCCCATCGCTATAATGGCGTGTACAAAGTGCTGCACAAACTCGACGTCGAGGAACGTCGGTGAATCCTGACGGTTGGAACCTTTGATCCGAGGGTGGAAATTCACCGACGTGCTCGACGTCGAGTTTTTGCGGACTTTGCACACGCCATAATCGCTTCAAAGTCTCGGCAACATCCTTCAACTCTCTCTTCTCTCCCTCCAAATCTTTCGTGCCTCCTCCTGTCCTTCAAGATCGCGTCACCTAATTCCCATGTCCTAAACCCCTGATTGACGGACGTAGACTTGCGATCCTGCTGAACATGTGAAGCCGAACACCCTGCATGGAGTCTCGTGCCATTTCTTCTTTAATACTCGGATGTCTCAACCGCTTCACAGAAAATGGTGACTGAGTTGGCGTTGATGCGCGGCTGTGTTGTCGCAATGGCTCGTGCTATGCGGCCGCGGTATTGGATGGTAAGTCGTGACGTCAAGATTATGATGTTACTACTCGTGATGCTTTCAGCAACACTGTCGATTATTCACCTTATCGTTTCATATTTCTCGAAACTTATTCCATTCTAACACTTTTCTTTTCGTACTTCTCGAAATCTCAAATCTAACCATTGTTTTTTTTCGTTCGCTGTTTGTTCTGGTCGCTATATCCGTGAAGGCGTTTGGATTTTTCACCTCCCCGATTGGAGTTTCAATCTGCTTACGGCTGATCTTGTCCAAAACGATGTGCTGCTGATCAGATCTGCAACTGGAGAGATTACGTAGCTTCTAGGTATGTCCTCTTTGTGGGGTGTCATTTGGTCATGATTTTTTCCGACTTGCTTTCCGATTCTGTCGCTTTCTACTATTTTTAATCTGCTCGTCTGTATTCTTCTATTTCCATCATTCCGCGGTATGTTCCTTCCAACTCTCCCATCCCCGTTCCGCCTCCCTCCACCCTTTCCCCACCTCCCTCCCCCCCAAACCCGCTTCCGTCGCATTGTCGATTTTCTGCACTCTCTTTTCGTCGTTTCCAAGGGTGTCTACCTGCGAGCTTTCGTTCACGTTGCTTTCCCCTTGGGATCTTTCTCGCCTCTGCGAGCTTATGTTTCCCTTCCTCTTGGGATTGTGTTCGCCTCGGTGATTATGCAACATGTTATTAGCTCTAGCTGATTCGCCGTGATGAGCAAAACTAGATATCCATCGGATGAGAGGCGCTATATGTTCCATGGTTCTGCTCTCCGTCTCTCTCATTCTTCTCTCTCATTCGTCTCGTAACCGCTCGTTCTTCCTAATCCTGCCTGTTCAGTTCAGTCCTAACCCTGGGAAAAGCAGAGGGTTTGAGTTGGGGGTTTTCGCGCTGGCGTTTCTCTGGGATCGCATGTGCGCACTGCCCGTTCTGCTGCTGCTCGCCTTCCCGCCGGTGGATACCACCATACGGAAGTCGCCG